AAATTTAATATCTTAAAAAAAGAAAACAGCCCCGCCGGTGTGGCTCAGTGGTTGAGCCGACGTCGACCTATGAACCAGGAGGTCACGTTTCAATTCCCGGTCAGGGCACATGCCCGGCTTGCGGGCTCCATCCCCAGTGTGGGGCGTGCAGGAGGCAGCCGATCCATGATTCTCTCCCTCTCCCTTCCCTCTCTGAAATCAATAAAAATATATTTAAAAAAATAAAAGAACCCAAAGTGGGTTTGAATGCCTGAATAAGCAGCCAGCTTCCAGCACAGTCCACGCCCACCCCAGGTCACGGCGGCGAACGTTACCAGCAGCTCGGACGTGCCCAGGACGTCCAGGGTGAGGGACTGCATCCGGGAGTAGTGCACGCCCAGCTCGCGGTGGATCCCCGAGCACTCGATGCAGGTCAGGATGCCCAGGTTGGTGGAGAGCCACGTGGGGTCTGCGGAGGGAACAAGGGGCTTGGAGCCGGCGGGAGGCAGAGGGCCCGGGGCCAGGACCTGCCCTCGCAGTCACCGCACGTGGAGTTTGGAGCACCAGCGTGTCCTTGACCCTTGATGCAGCCAGGCCCGCATTCCACCAGCACCCCTCCCACTGACACTCAACACACACAGAGGCACCCGTCTGTCCTCGCCCTCTCCTCACCCCCACCTCCCCGTCCTGCCATTCATCAGGTGATGGGTCAACGAGGAACAGGACACAGCGCCCTCTCCTGGCTGCGCCCATCACCGACCTGGTCGCACCATCCGAAGTCTAACTACCACAGGGGGAGCTGACGGAGGTCACACGTGCCTGTGTGTTCACAGGTGCTGATAATCACGAGAGGACACACTGCGTGCTGATGCCACGCTCTGCGCACAGCACTCTGGTAGCCATCAGAGCTCACACTTGGAGCGCGTCAGCAATGCCAGAGCCTTCCCTATACCCCCTCACTGCGCACACAGCCGTGGAGGGGGCAGGGCGGGTGCCCGCACGCTGCCCGGAAGGGCCTCGCTTGGGGCTGCAGGTGGGCACAGAGCCAGACAGACGGCTGCCCGCCCTGCGCTGGACTCGCACCTGTGCTCCTCCGCAGGGGGACTGACACCCCGGAGAGTCCTACACTGTGTGTGGCACATAGTAGGTGCTCGAGAAATGCCCGACAAAGGATGCTGGATTCACTGAAAAGGGGGGATTCAGAGTAAGCTCCATTGGGCCCAGCAGTACAGCTCTCTCTGGAACCGCTAGTCGCCCTTAGAAGCACACAGTGGGTGCACAGCACAGCCGTGGTCCCTGGGTAACCGTGGAGCTGTTTTTAAAAAGCTCCAGTTATAAGACATTTCTTTCACGTCAGGGAATGCCGCGGGCGCCTGCGTGTTCTCCTCCCTGGACCTCCTCTCTATGGACTGCACGTGCCCCTGGGAGTGCGTGTACCTGTAGACTAACTCATCTCAGCTTCTACACCACCCATATCGTCTCAGCATCTAGAACAAAAGCGCGCGAGGCGTGGCTTGTTTACGCGCGTTTTCTAGCCCAAGCTCTGCCCTTCTCTTTCCTCACGAAAAAGCACCATCCACTTCCCACCACTCCCTTACAGGTAAGACCCCAGATGCCAGCCACGGAGAGTTGTAAATGGGACCCCGACCCCACGAGGTCATGCCTCACACTGTCCCCAAAGAGCCTCCGGGCCCAGGAGCCTCCCGGCGTCTGCTCTGCACTGTTTTTGTTGTTGGTTTTTACAAAAACGGCCACAGAATTAGCGGGAAAAGGGGACGGCCCGCTCTCGCCAGGCCCCGGTCTCTCTCACTCAGAACAGGCTGCTCTGTGCTCCCCTGACCCCCAGCACCCCGTCTTCCTGAGAAGAACGAGTCGGCTCGCAAACCTTTCCAATGCTCTGGCTGAAGCCTACGGTGACGTGCTTGTCCACTAGGAAGGAGCCCCCACAGGCTTCACCGAGACGCAGACACACACTGCGTCTCAGAGACGAGGGCAGCCCCAGGCGTGCAGGCAACACTGGCCTCCGACAGGGCGGGTGGGCGGCAGGTCACAGGCCAGACAGCGGCTTGAAGTCGCTGAGACGGTCCCACGGAGGGCGGACGGGGCCAATCCCCGGAAAGCCCCGCAGTCACTGCCAGGGCCATGACCTTGCTCTGACCTTCCCTCTGAGCTCCCGTTTTCTCGAAAAGCATGGAAATCTTCTCAGCTGTATGGGGCCTCCTGCACCTGATCCGGTCTGAGAGCCGCCCGGCAAACACCCCCCCGCCCCCCCACGTGGGCGGCACACGGCGCAGGCGGCCTGGGAGTCCCCTGGGCTCCCCCTCCCCCTCAGCTACAGGGCCTTTCTGAAATGGAAGGGGGCCGGCCGGGGTGGCTCAGCTGTTGAGCATCGACCCAGGAACCACGAGGTCGCCGGTTCGATTCCCTGTCAGGGCCCAGGCCCAGGTTGGGGGCTCCATCCCCAGGGTGGGGCGTGCAGGGGGCAGCTGATCGACGATATCCCTCTCTCGCTGATGTCTCTTTCTTTCTTTTTTTAATTCTCCCCCGAGGATATTTTTCCATTGATTTTTAGGGAGAGTGGGAGAGAGAGGGAAAGACAGAGAGAAACATCGTGTGAGAGAAACACATCGATTGCTTGCCTCCTGCATGAGCCCCAACCAGGGCCTGGGCCGGGGAGGAGCCTGCAACCGAGGTATGTGCCCTTGACAGGAATTGAACCCGGGACCCTTCAGTCCACAGGCCGACGCTCTACCCACTGAGCCAAACCGGCCAGGACTCTCATTGATGTTTCTATCCCTCTTCCCCTCTCCCATCCTCTCTTTCTTTAAAAATATCAATGAAAAAGCAACGGGAGGGAAAACCCATGGCCGGGCTCTTGGCCGGGGACTTCCCAGCGCTGGGGGAGGGGGGAGGGGCTGGTCACCTGGCGCCCCACAGTCGCAGCACACGTCGTTGCCCGTCATCCTCTGCACCTCCGCGATGATCTCCTTCGTCAGCTCCTGCACGATGTTGTTCTCCCCGGGGGGGTCGTCGCCCTTGAAGGCGTTGTTCAGGGCTTCCTCCTTGCTGTTCTGCAGCACGGACATCCATCTGGGGGAGGAGAGGGCGCTGTGACAGGCCCGGGCCCCGCCGGCCCCCCT